GGGGTCACACCTCTGGGATCAACACATACTGTCCTCATACCAGTCATGCGTGTGCTTCACGTGAGCTGTGTGCGTTACTTACAGACCTGTGCAGCAATCCCGTGTGAGACTTCCTGTAATAAAGATCGCTCACTGCTGCTCTCTCTACTTGTGCAGGGTGACCGGTCTTGTCTCCGCCCCCTCCTGTAATAAAGACCGGTCACTGCTGCTCTCTCTCCTTGTGCAGGGTGACTGGTCTTGTCTCCGCCCCTTTCTGTAATAAAGATCGGTCACTGCTGCTCTCTCTCCTTGTGCAGGGTGACTGGTCTTGTCTCCGCCCCTTTCTGTAATAAAGATCGGTCACTGCTGCTCTCTCTCCTTGTGCAGGGTGACTGGTCTTGTCTCCGCCCCTTTCTGTAATAAAGATCGGTCACTGCTGCTCTCTCTCCTTGTGCAGGGTGACTGGTCTTGTCTCCGCCCCTTTCTGTAATAAAGATCGGTCACTGCTGCTCTCTCTCCTTGTGCAGGGTGACTGGTCTTGTCTCCGCCCCTTTCTGTAATAAAGATCGGTCACTGCTGCTCTCTCTCCTTGTGCAGGGTGACTGGTCTTGTCTCCGCCCCTTTCTGTAATAAAGATCGGTCACTGCTGCTCTCTCTCCTTGTGCAGGGTGACTGGTCTTGTCTCCGCCCCTTTCTGTAATAAAGATCGGTCACTGCTGCTCTCTCTCCTTGTGCAGGGTGACTGGTCTTGTCTCCGCCCCTTTCTGTAATAAAGATCGGTCACTGCTGCTCTCTCTCCTTGTGCAGGGTGACTGGTCTTGTCTCCGCCCCTTTCTGTAATAAAGATCGGTCACTGCTGCTCTCTCTCCTTGTGCAGGGTGACTGGTCTTGTCTCCGCCCCTTTCTGTAATAAAGATCGGTCACTGCTGCTCTCTCTCCTTGTGCAGGGTGACTGGTCTTGTCTCCGCCCCTTTCTGTAATAAAGATCGGTCACTGCTGCTCTCTCTCCTTGTGCAGGGTGACTGGTCTTGTCTCCGCCCCTTTCTGTAATAAAGATCGGTCACTGCTGCTCTCTCTCCTTGTGCAGGGTGACTGGTCTTGTCTCCGCCCCTTTCTGTAATAAAGATCGGTCACTGCTGCTCTCTCTCCTTGTGCAGGGTGACTGGTCTTGTCTCCGCCCTCCCCCCCCCTGTAGTGCAGAGGTGGGCTACTCCAGCCCACCAGCTGTGCTTTAACTACAAATCCTATCATGCGTCAGCCTCTGGGAGTCATGCCGGGAACTGTCAGTCTTGAAATGCCTACTGGGACTCGTAGACGGAGGGGCGGAGTTTCCCCATACGTGCTGTAGTGGGTGGAGCCTGCTGGGTGATGTGGGTATCACGATTCTCCCAGACTCCTTTCAAAACCAAGAAACTTTATTATACTATTACAAGTGACATTTTCCCTCTTTATACTCTGACCTTTAACTGTCCGAGGAAGTGTCAGCGACTTTCCCGGAGGCCCCGCCCCCCCAGAGACGCACAGCGCTGTACGGACGCCGCCGTCAGCCTCCGCTCACCTGGATGCTGAAACTCTGAGACTCGATGAATGGCGACGTGATGTTCCTGTAATCCTCCCCCGATTCCTGGATCAGGTAGATTTCCTGGCGGAGGTATTTCTTGATGTGCTTCTCCGTGGCCGGTCTGATGACCGTTGTTTTAATTTCTGGATGAAGAGGAACAAAAAAAAAAAAAATCCGAAATAATGATAAATAAAAAAAACGACAATCACTGACGCAAAAAGGAGCTCAGACACTGATATGTCAAAAAGAGCACGCTGATAGGAGGAGAGAGCAGAGTGACAGAGAGATGAGCTCATCAGTCTGCTGTTCCTCCAATCACATTCTGGGGGAGGGACAAGACCTCTGTGTGTTACTGAACTGAAGCAGAGGAAAATAAGGTCCCCTGCCCGGCCAGACAGAGCTGTGCTGTGTGGCAGGGCTGTCTCAATCTCAGAACTGTATAGACAGTAATGCAAATCCTTCGGCAGGTACAGCAGCCGCCATTCAGATCTGTTTGCCTGGAGCTCAGCTGTAAAGTCCTTACCCCCTGATAGAGTATGCACCCGGGGGGGGAAGGGCAGCTTCCACCTGAGGCTTTGCACACAGGCATTCTACTCTTTGGGGAGGGGCTGCAGTGTCAGCTCACCGTTCAGCCCGGCGGGAGGACTCAGGTGGTACACCCCGTAGATGTCGTTCTTCAGCTGCAGCGCCATCGCCGGGTTCTTGCCGAGAAAGTCCGACACGGAGTCGGCCTGGAAGGGCGCCCTCTCCAGGATGACGACGGCGTCTTCCGCGGCCTCTCCATCGCCGCTCACCTGGGGGGAAAAAAAAAAACGCACGCGGCGTGGATCAGCGGTGAACGCACTCACTGCACTGAGGGCTCAGTCACATGGTCGCGGCGCATTGACGTGCGTTACGACACACCATAGGGATCGATATTATCAGGTGTGTTGAGTTGCATTAGGGCAGCCCAGCCACCAGTGGCGGACCTAATAACCAAAGGGCCCTGGTGCCAGATTTTATCTTGGGCCCCCCTCCCAAGATGGTGCGGGGGGCGGATCACACTGGCCCCCGAACATCCCCCCCCCCAGTAGTCCGCATGCATTCAAACGCAATGCACTTGTTCATTCATTGTGGCTGCCAGCCACAATGAATGAACGGCGCCGCAATGCACAGAGCAAGTGCATTGCGTTTGAATGCATGCGGACTATATTTTACTGTGCACCCCACAAGCTGCTGCATGCTGCAGTTTGGATGCACTCCTCCGCACTCAATCCACGAATTTTCTTGACCTGCAGTTTACACCCCACAAACATGAATGAACATAATTCAACTGTTGGGGACTTTACTGCCCATTCAGCTTAACAGAAGTAAAGTAATCAGCCTTTTCCTGCAAGTGGTCTCCCCCCGCAAAGCGTAGCAGTGGTACGGTCCTGGCTCCACCTTCCGCTTCCTGCAACAGTGGCACCCCCCCATTGGTTTGTCTTGCTTCCCTGGGTACCTGTCCGTGCAGGAAGATCGTTTTTTCCCGCGCTGACTCTCTCAGGACGGCGCTGAGGCGGAAGCCGGGAAGAGGGTGCTCTCCTCCCACCGAGTTCTCCCCATCCCCGGCGCCGCCATTGTCCGCCTCATCCTCCCGCTTCCTCTTCTCTCCGGTCTGTGCCATTGTGAGCCTCCTGAGCATGCGCAGTGCGGCCAGAGCACAGCGCCACCTGCTGCTCCGCTCAGTGTACTATAGCGGCAAGTAGTGTCTCATTGCGGCCTCTAGTGGTATGGAACAAAGTAACAGCGCCATCTAGCGAGGAAACTGTTCACTACACTGTAATAATCATCACATATTCTCTCTCTGGGCACGAGATTATTATTATTATACGGGATTTATATAGCGCCAATAGTTTGCACAGCGCTTTACAATATAAGGAAGACATTACAGTCACAATACAATTTAAGACAAGATGGTAAGGAGGGCCCTGCCCGTGAGGGCTTACAATCTAAAATAAAAAAAAATAATTGCAGAGTCCCCCGCAGCAAGGATGATTTAATGCTTGTTAGGTCCAGAGGAGATATTAGATACCTTACCCCCAATATGGCAGGCTCCGATGCTTTCCTCTTCTCCCTGATTATTATACAGGATTTATATAGCGCCAACAGTTTGCGCAGCGCTTTACAATATAGGGAAGACATTACAATCACAATTCATGACAAGATGGTAAGGAGGGCCCTGCCCCTGAGGGCTTACAATCTAAAAGGGGAGGGGCCAGTGATACATGAGGAGGTAGCTGTGTGGGGGATGAATTGTTTGAGAACGTGACGGTTCAGTGGTTAGGTTGAGGTGGGATCGGCTTCCCTGAAGAGATACGTTTTTAGGGATCGCCTAAAGGCAGTCAAGGTGGGTGACAGATGGACAGGTTGGGGTAGAGAGTTCCAGAGGATGGGAGAGACTGTAGAGAAGTCCTGGAGGTGAGCATGGGAGGAGTTGACAAGGGATCTGGAAAGCAGGAGGTCTTGGGATGAGCGGAGGGGACAGTTAGGGTGATACTTTGAGACAAGGTCTGAGATATAGCCGGGGGCAGAGTTGTGGACGGCTTTGTAACTGATTGTTGATGCTTCAGGCTGTGGGTGGTCATCATATGCAATGCAGAGCAATTAACCCAGCATTGTACATGCAGAAGGTGAGTGTTTGGCCGTGGCCTGGAGTGCCTTGGAGAGGAGTAGCGATCAGCTATATAGAGGAGTAGTGGTGGTTCACCAGAGCTCACCCAAGCCCACATAAAACTAACTCCTTACCATCTTGTCTTGAATTGTATTGTGATTGTAATGTCTTCCTTATATTGTACAGCGCTGCGCAAACTGTTGGCGCTCTATAAATCCTGTATAATAATAATAACTGACACGCTCCCCCTCCTGGCCCAATCAGTTGCAGCAAAGGCATTTCCTGGTGCTCAGCTACATGCCCGAAAGGGGCGGGCCAATGCCCTTGCTCCAACTGAGTGGTTCTTACAAAACCCCTGCTCATCACTAGAGAGTAGGGTTGCCACCTTTTCTTCAAGTGAACCCCAAACACTCTAGTGCCACGCGCGAACGAAGCTACATATGCTGTGCTTTTTCAGGGTGGTGCTCTGATGTTTCCAGGATATCAGGTGACCTGTGCAGGCTCTCAAGTGTCTCACCAGGGGTCCTGTGGCGGGCAACGTGGTGTCAGGAAGACAGAGGAGGAGATATATGGGCCAGTGTCTGTTTACAGACAGCCCCCAGAAATGGGTAGTCAGTGATGTAACTATTGTTATTCAACTTTTTAATCTTAATAAATAAAATTGTTGCCAGCAGGAAGTGTATTTTATATAAAATATTTAATTCTCTTCCAGTTATAGGGATGCTGGGGGTTGTATTTCAGGGTACAGAAGGAACTTTATCATTGCTGCCTTTTGTTTCTTTTACAATGTATCAAACACAAAGAGCTGCAGAGGAAGTTGTTCATGTTCTGCTGACTGTTGTAGGCTTAGCTCCGTCAAAACTGTTATATTATGTTATATTATACTATATTATAGTGCACTTTTCTTATAATGAAATGAATGGAGTTTTTGTCTCACTACGAAAGTGGATACTTACCACTGAACTTAAATTAAAAGGAGTACATACCTAGGTAAGGGGCAATTACCACTGAGCACCAATGAAATGCTGTGCAACATCACTGAGCACCAATGAAATGCTGTGCAACATCACTGAGCACCAATGAAATGCTGTGCAACATCACTGAGCAACATCAGTACCTCTGTCCAGAATCCTGCCCAGCTCATTGACGTCACTGTTTTCCAGGAGCTGAGTGGGACACCAGCCAGAGCATCACAGGTTGCTAAGAGCTCTTAACAACCTGGGACTCTCTGGCTGGAAAGGGGACGACAGGCACACCTGCCCCCACCCCCCAACCTGACCCAATGAGATGCCACCTCATTATAGGGATGGCCCTGAGTGCGGTGACATCACTATATTTGTAGACCATTCATTCTTCTTCCCGCCCATGTAATTGAATGTCCGTACCCTTTACAAACAGAGACGGGAGGAACGGTCTGCAGGAGACAGAGCATTGAAAAGTTCAAAGAGTTTTTACCCCATGTGTGGCGCTCAAAAAAGGTGGGGTGAGTGGTGGTACTTGGTGGGTGCGTGAATGGAGCGTGGGGGAATTTTGAGGAGAGAGTTTGAAGGAGGGGGGGTAGGGGGTGTGGGTTGGGGGTTTTAAATTTTGTAGAAAAATGGGAGCGTCTTTTTTGCTCTGCAGGTGTGCAGCTCCCGTGGTGTTCGGACCGTGGTGTCCAACAGGTGTACTACAGGAAACAAAAATTGGAGAACGGAAGCGCCACTACCTGGAGCAATAAATGTGATGAGGCCTGGTGAGAGGGATAAGTGATGTACTCACCTATGGTAGGTGGATCATGCGCTTTTCGGACGGCCGTCAGATGGAATGGAGCAGTTGCGGGAGACGGTCCTTCTTGGGATGGGTGGTGTAGTGGTGTGACACAAAAACAGGAAGGTAAGATAAGGTTTTTTGTAACGGAGCTGGAAGCAGAACCTGCAATTAAAAAAAATAAACAAGAAGGCGGTCAAATGTACCCGGCGGATGTTCTGTGACTCTACACTGGAACCTCACCCGGAATTGTTGGCTTTAGCTCAGGATCTCATCCTGCCTGGGAGTCAGGGAACCTTCCCCTCCATCGGCGTCACCAGGAAAGCCTCACACTTGCCTGCACTTTTGTATTGATCAAAAATAAAGATTTTTTTATTATACCGCTAGTGTAAGTATCTGAACTGTGTCCTCGTATTAGCTTCCTGTAAATGGGTCGGTGTTCTATCAAAGTTTGTGACTGCGTTAGAATGTGTGACCGGTGACGTGGTCACACATTTTAACGTGATCCCGCCCAGTTTTTCGGCGGTGGTTTTATACATTTTCCTTTTACCTCCTGTTGTCAAGAAATGTATTACAGCTCAATTAGCGCACTGACTCCGCCCCTTGTGTTGTACAGCTCCGCCCATCCACGAGTCAGAGCGTCCAAAAGGAGATAAATTCTGCTCTGCAAAAGCCTTTGTACAGGAAGCCAGGCAGCGCGTCACTTGTGACGAGAGAGCATGGAGCCGACTACCCGGCCAATCAGGAAGCCGAGCAGCGTGTAATGACGTACTGCCGGGCTTCTTGATTGGTCAGGAAACGCCAATCAGGTAGCCGGGCGCCGTGTAATGCCGGCCAACCAGGAAGCAGGGCGCTGCGTCATTACAAGGCGCCTGGCTTCCTGAATGGGACGTCCCGTACTCGGTATTTGGTATCGGCGAGTACCAAAAAAAAGCTGTTGGCGCTCTATAAACCCTGAAAAACAACAATAATAATAAATATTAGGGCTGCGGAAATTACCGATTAATTCCTCGATTAATCGTTAAATTAAAATTCAGTCGTGTTGCTCTTCAAGCGGGATTTCAAATGACAAAAAAATAGAGTGGATTATTTCATCACCAACCGGCCCATATACACATACGGAAGAGAGCAGCTACCAGGGGACATTCAGCTTTCCATTTTTGTAACCCTCCCCTTTCAATAAAACCTGAACGTGTTTTTTTTTTTAATTTACCTTTTTTTAGATTTCTTTGTGTCCCCATTACCATTGTTGCATAGACAAGAATTCTGTATGTGCGTTATACTGTAATTAATTGAAATTAAATCGATTAAAAAAATGTCAATTAATCGAACACGAAAATTTTAAATCAGTAACAGCCCTAATAAATATATAATTATATAATAAAAACAAATATAAAAGACAGAAGTTTAAAAACAATAAATAAATTGATCCCCGAAACCATTTTCTTTGCAGATTTTTGTAGCGTTGGTGACGCTTTGTAATTAAAAAAAGAAAAGAAAACATTTCAAACGTAAAAACATTTATTTTAAATATAAATAAAAAGTGAACATTGCGAGGAAAACGACGAATAATGAATGTATTGCCCATCCTGAGAACTTGTTCTACCCAACACTCTTCTATGGCAGAGAATGTTATACGGTGTGTAGTGTCTGATGAGCGATAAGATAACAGAGAATGTTTATAAGAAACAGTAACCAGGGAGGATCCCCAGACATTGCCGCCGGTCAGTCTGCAAACATGTGACATTATGTAACACGTCAATGAAGAGCCTTTTCTTGACTTTCATCCCCTCCAGGTCTTAGCGGGCAGTTGCAGTGCAGTTTATGTGCGTTGCGTTAGGGCAGTCCATTTTATTTCAATGGCGACACCCCACAAGACGTACATGACCTTTTATTTTTAATGCTTGACACGTGCCTCCTGGTGCATTGCAGCATGTGTGTGTGTGTGCCGCCCTTACTGTGTTTGAAGGTGCGACTCTAAATAAATGTATATACCGTCAGTCAGTGATTAATCGATCACAATGTATATACTGTCAGTAATATAATGTATTCTGGTTTCTGTTTTAGCTCATGTAATCTTCAGCTTCACCAGACTTATCACACATTTGATCTCATCTATTGATACGAAACGTCTTATAAATTTTGATCTCAATCCCTTCTCATGGTTTCTGGGAAGAATCCTGATATAACAGGGTTTTGTTAATCACAAAAGTGACAAATACGAGTGTACATCGATGTGATACAATGTAGTCAGTTGTTCTACTAGAGATCCGTTTAAACACACACTCAATGCCTGGCTATGATTGTATATATGAGATGTAGAT